ACGCAATAAAAATGGAAAGGTTCAAGTATACGATGATTACTTCCAAGGATACACATATACTAAAAGCTAAGGGGAAGAATGGATATATCACACAAATGGATTCTAAAAAGGAGTTAGCACCTATATTTATATCAGAAGAGGTAATTTTAATCCAAAGCAGTAAAGCGAAACATGGAAAGTCATTCTATAATGATAAGGGAATCAATTGTACAAAGAGGAAACCAATCAGAAACACATGTGCATCCAATACTAAAAGGACTGAACACACGAAGCAGTCAGAGAGCAGCTTAAAAAGCCAACACAGTCACAAGAGTTAACCTCTGCCTGACAGTCAATGGGCCTAAAAGACATCTACAGAACATTTCATCCAAGAGCTGTAGAATAGATGTACTTTTCAGTATACCTGGAACACTCCAGAACAGTTCATATGGTAGGCCACAACAAACCTTAAAAATTAAAATAATTAAGATCATATCAGTATCTTGTTTAATCACAATGTAATAAAGCTAGAAATCAATAACAGAAACCATATAAACGCACAGAAATTTAACATATACATACAAACAACTAATGAGTCAAGGAAGAAATTAAGAGGGAAATTTAAAATGATTTTCAACACACAAATACAGCAGAACATGGAAGAAGCCCTGAGTATGTGAAGAAGTCCTGAGTGGATGTGTGTTGTTGACATGAGCCAGCCATATCAAGGAGGACCAAAACCTTAGACACATGAGAAATTGGCAAAACTTTCTCCCCAGGTGAGTGAGGCTCAGAAGAATGACAAAGTCTTCATCTGGTCTGAGTGTGAATGTTGACAGTGTGTTCAGACAATGTCCACTGAAGCTCCCAGTCTCCTCCCAGCCCGCCCAGATACCGTATAGTCTTCCTGATCCCAGCTTTTCTGAGTGTGTGACTGTCTTTTTCCATCCCCTTGCTGCCTGCCCTGTAAGATGCAGCCTTGCAGCCGGGCGGTGGTGGCGCACGCCTTTAATCCCAGCACTCGGGAGGCAGAGGCCGGCGGATCTCTGTGAGTTCGAGGCCAGCCTGGGCTACCAAGTGAGTTCCAGGAAAGGCGCAAAGCTACACAGAGAAACCCTGTCTCGAAAAACCAAAAAAAAAAAAAAAAAAAAAAAAAAAAGATGCAGCCTTGCAAGATGCAGCCCTGTAAGATGCAGCCTTGTAAGATGCCCTATAAGATGTTGCCCTGTAAGATGCAGCCCTGTAAGATGCAGCCCTGTAAGATGCAGCCCTGTAAGATGCTGCCCTGTAAGATGCAGCCACACACCAAAACCCAAGGTATATGGTAAAGCAGTTGCAAGGGGGAATTTTACAGCAATCAATATTTCTATCAAAAATATCAGAAAATCTCAAACAACCTATCATTGCATCTCAGGAAACTAAAAAAACAAATAAACAAGAACAAATCAAACCAATATTAAAAGAGATCATTGCAGCAGAAATAAATGAAGTAAGAGTTTAAAAATATAAAGAACACAATTAGAAACTGGCTTCATGAAAAGAAAAAATTTCCACACTATAGCTAGATGACAAAAAATGGAGAAAAGATTTAAATAGAATTAAAGGCAGAAGAGGAGCTACTGTAACTACAGCACAGGAATACAAAGAATTGTTACATTTTTATGAACTGTATGTCAACAAATTTGATAATGCAAAAGAAATAGAAAAAATCCTGGAAATGTATGCCTTATCAAAATTAAATCATAAAGACACAGACTATCTAAACAGACTAGTAATAATTAAAATCAATCAGTAATAAAGAATGTTCTCCCATTAAAAAAGCCCAGGACCACATGGCTTCACTGCTGAACACTACAAAACATTTAGAGAACTAATACCAATTCCTTTCAAACTATTTAAAAAAGAAACTAAAAAGGAAATCCAGTGTTACCCTGAGTCAAAAACTTGATAAATGCACAACACTAAAAACAACCCCCACCAGGCGCTACCAGCTGAGGAGGGAGCTAACTCTGCCCTTTACCAGCTGCAACACTGGAGGAAAGTGGGCCCTGCACCTCATCTGGGCAGCACAGCAGAGCTGAAGCTGCTGATGGGGGGCGGGGGGGTGGGGGTGGAGGGGGTGAGAGGGTCAGCCCCTGAGAATGTAAGCATGAGAGATCCGGCCCTGCCCCTCATCTGCTATATGGTAGCATGGGTGAGTGAAGAGATCCCCTTCCCCAACTTTGCCTGGTGTCTGAGGCTGGTGGGAGAGCTGGCCCTGAGGTCACAAGAGCCCCTCACCAGCTGCAGCACTGGGCAACACAGTAGAGCTGGCTCTGATGGTGTAGTGTGGGAGGAGCCGACACTGAGGGCTTGAAAGCAGGAGAACTGGCTCTGGCCCTTGCTCATCCTTGCAAGGGTGAGCTAGCCAGGGCAGTGCAGGAGAGCTCACCCAGGTGGTGAGGACAAGGGAGAGCTGGTGGGCTGACCAACCCTGCTACTACCAGACCTAGAACCAGGTTTATGAGGTGGCCCACCCCAACATTCACCCCATCTATGATCTGCTGGAGCATGTGAAGGGGCAAGTCCAGCAGACCCAAAGCTGCAGGATCTCCACGACACAGGTCAACAACAGGATATTCAAGAGGAGTCCAGTGAGAGTCCAGCATCGATAGTGTAGCAGAAATCAGGGGCCTTGAACCAGACCGATGACTCTTTGGAATGAACACTTGCAAGTAAAGATATATGGATAAAAGGGTCTACTGCATGACTCATGAGTCACACTATAGCTTCTATGATGAGATTGATTTTTCTTTCTTTTTTTTTTCTTTTACATTTTATTTTAGGGAAGTTGCAAGGGCAGAGGGCAGATATGAAGGGATTGGGAAATGAACGGGATTGAGATACATGATGTGAAAGACACAAAGAATAAATAAAAAGAAAGTTAAAACAAACAACAACAAATCATGGGTAATAATCTAATGAACACAGATGAAAAAATACTTCCTATCAAAATATTAATTCACTAACACATAAAAAAATTCACCACCATCAAGTGATATTCATGTCAGAAATGCAAGGATGCTTTAATGCACACAAAACAATAAACATGATATACCACATAAATAGAATGAAAAATCTAATTACCTCACTAGAAAAAAAAAACCAAATCAAACCAAAACATTCAACAGAATAAAATATCCCTTCATGAAAGAAAACTCTGAGTCAATTATGTATCAGGGCATTATATCTAAATATAATGAAAGCCACATACAACAAGCCCGTAGATAATATAACTAAATGGACAACAGCTAGATTTCCTTCAAAATTGCAATCATTTGCAAATCATATGAGCTCATATGTACAAAACTTCCAACATTCTACCCTACTTAATTTAGAAAATTCAACAAAATTCCAATATACAAAATGAACATATACAAGTTAGTAGGACTCTTCTGTAGCAAATAGTGAATTACAAAAAATAGACATGAATGATGCAATCTTATTTTAAAAAGGTAAAATGATGCCTGGTAATGAAGTTTAACCAAAATAAAAGAGCTCCATAATATCTATAAAATATTGATGAACGACACTGAAGGATACACACACACAGAAAGTACATTATGTGTTCAAGAAATGAAAAAAATTAAATACTGCTAAATATCCATGTTATCTGAAGCAATTTACAGAATCTGTGCAATCTTTATCAAAATACCAATGATATTCTACTAATAAAAATAATACTAGCCGGGCGGTGGTGGCGCACGCCTTTAATCCCAGCACTCGGGAGGCAGAGCCAGGCGGATCTCTGTGAGTTCGAGGCCAGCCTGGTCTCCAAAGCGAGTTCCAGGAAAGGCGCAAAGCTACAGAGAAACCCTGTCTCGAAAAACCAAAAAAAAAAAAAAAAAAAAAAAAAAAAATACTAAAGTTCATATGAAACCACAAAATGTTGGTCAAAGAAATTTTGATTATAAAGATAAAAAGCAAGAGACATTACTTGCTTTCATAGTCTATTAGAAAAATACAATGATTTGATAGTATGGGTACTGGAATAAAAATAAGACAGAAAAGTGGAACAGAAGAGAGAGCCTAGGAGCAAACCCAAATCTACATGAAACTCATTTCCAACAAAAGGTGTTGAGCACAGGCATTAGATAAGGATAGCTCCCCAATAGATGGCACTATGAAGAACATCATATATGTGTAGAAGAAACTAGACATTTAAAATCATCATACATATAAAAAAATCAACTTAAAATGGATTAAAAACTTAAATATAAGACTTCTAACTATGATACTATTTATTGGACAAAACTACAGGAAAAATGTTTTGAGACATTATAATAGAAAATGACCTTTTGGAAAAGATTTCAAAAGCTTAGGTAAGAAAGCCAAAATGGGTTGGAATACATAAAACTCAAAGACTTCTACACAACCAAGACAATCTACAGAATGAAGAAAACATTTATAAATTTTCCATTTGAGAGAGGGTTAAAATCCAGAAGATAGAAGAAACTCTAAAATTTCATTAGTAGTTAGTAAAATAATCCAATTAAAAGTGTGCAACAAACCTAAACAGATAATTCTTTAAAATGGCAGGGCAGCGAGGTCAGGACAGCTAGTCCTGCATTGGCAGTCAGGAAGTAGTGAGTGGGAAGTGGAGCTGCGCTATAAATCCTCAAGACCCGCCCCAGTGACCACTTCCTCCAGCAAGCCTCAAATCCTAAAGGATCTACAAGCTCCCAAATAGCATCACGGCACCAAATGTTCAGATCCATGAGTCTATGAGGGACATTCCACATTCAAACCATACAATGAAGTAAAAGTCATATGGTTTAAGTTTCTTATTCTAGCTCATTCTACAACTAGAAAATCCTGGGACAGGTTATATTTTATCAATCTGCTTATTTTTTAACTTCAATTTGTTGTGGAAGAATATGTACAAGGAATAACTTTTGCTCAGAAATCTTTTCTACACAAAGTTCAACTTCCCAACAATCCTGGAAATGTCAAGAAACACATCATCAATGTTTAAAGCATACCCAGGAGTGCAGTGAGCTTTGGGAGAAGTCCCACTTGTACCATCTTGTTCCTCAGGCCCGTGTCAAAGGAGAGGTTTAATAAAAGCCGGAGAGTGATATTCAGGAGATCTTCATGCTCACAGGGTATCATTTTTACCAGTTTTTCAACAATATCCATTTCCACCTATAGTAAAAAATAAAACACACTTACATTAGATTGTAAAATAAGATATAAAAGGTTACAAGTCTGTTTTTATTTGAATGAATAACTATTTCATAAGTATGTATTAGCTTATATTCTCATTTCAACCTATAAATCAAACTTTTTTTTAGCCTGAAATCAAACTTTTCAGGAGGAAACATAGACTCCTCCATCATCCATTCCCTTCCCTCATTTAACTGTCATCAACAGGAAAACAAATTGCATTTGATCCTTGAAAACACTGCACGATTGAGTTCATGAAGTTGGGAAGGAAAGTGGGGTGTGGTAGAGAACAGGGAAGAAATTGAAGGGGAGGGAATGTGGATTTGATTTGATCAAAACACATTATATAAAGATATGAAATTCTCAACTAAATCATTATAAAAATTGCTGTTAGTCCTGCTTAAAAACAACAGGAAAATAATGGGATTAGGGGTACACACCTGCAACCCCAGCACTTGGGAGTTGAAGGCAAAAGATCAGTAGTTCAAGACCAACCTTGCTACTTAAGTTTGAGGACAACCTGGGCTAAATGACACCTTGTCTCAAAAGACCCCCAAACCAACCAACCAATCAACCAAACAAACAATAAAACCCAACAAGCTAAACAACAACAAAATAAAGATTACATTGTCCCCCAGAGGAGGCAAAGAAAAGAAATCTATGAAGCTGACTCTAAAGTCATGTTTGTGTCTGTGATCCTTCGCTGTCTCAGGGTAAAATCAGGATGCTAGAGTGACTACATGTAGTCACGCATGTAAGGTCTAGTTGAGTTCTAAAATACTAATTCCATAAGAGGCTGTCACATGTAAGGGCATTTCTCCCACATAAACTGAAACATGTTTGTCTAAAGTAAAAGTCTGAATTCTCATAATATTAAACACCTCATAACTCTGGATGAGAAATTAACTTTGCTGAACCTCGTTCTATTCTTCCCAAATAAAAACGATGTTTGATAAGATGTGCTGCTTTCTACCTTCCAATTCTATGATATTACTGGATTTAAATGTAAATGAAATATTAATGTTGAGATCTTTCTGATGGGTTAACCATTTCAGGATGATCATACTTAAATATAAGCATTTGAGCTAAATTTAAATACACAAAAATCAGAAATGTAAAAGGTAAAATAGTTTAAGCAACACCAAATGAACCTGAAGTTAAGCTATTATTTTTAAGACAACATGCATCTCTATTCTACGGCATATTAGAAAATACTTTTACCTAGAAAGCTTCAACTATCTAGTATAGTAATGATATCGGCTATATTTCCTACTGAAGCTGCTATAGTTATAAAATATTCACAATTACCTTAGTAGAGGTAGAATGTTTATGCTTTATCAGAATATGCTAACTTAAAAACAGCTAACAGAGCTCATTTGAAGGAGCTCTGTGCATTACCATGTCGTTTTTATTCTCCATAAAAATACTGAGTTTCTTTAAGAATGACACAACGAGAATGAGCAGCTCAAAGTTGTCCCGATCCAGAGCCTTCACCAGCATGTGAACGATGTTCTTGTTCCTCATCTTCAGTTCTGTCCGGGTGTCCTCAGCAAGATTCAAAAGTAGATAGAGCGCAACTGGGAAAGAAAACACATGAGAGCTGAGGGACTGCATATTCAAGCAATAATTTCAAGAATCAGTTCTGCTTACAAAGGTCAGGGACACAGTTCTAAAAAGGTTCTATATTATTTTAAAGCTTTAACATAATTAAATTATTCAAGCTTTACGGATATTATCTAATAGAATTTCTTTTAATTGCTCTATTTTATTACAGTTTTAGTTAGCACACAATATATCAAACTTAACTGTGCATTTTCAGATGTCTCTTGTTTTTGTTACTCCTCATCCCTCTTCGGCACACCTAACCCCCGGCACGCCTAACCCCCGGCACCCCCGGGGTGCCTTTCCTTCCCCAGTAGCCTCATTTCTGCTTCCATGTCACATGTGTTCTATGAGCATTATATTCCTTGGAAGCTGAGACCATAAAAATCAATCTAATAGTTCACACTCTCCAGGAGCTTACAGCTTAATAGTAATTATGGCAATTAAAGATTTGTAAATCAGCAAATAATAAGGAAAATAACTTTATGCATACAAAAATAAGGAAACATATCATTGCAAAAAACTCCTATCTCAGAAGGCTACTGTGAGACTTGCCATCCCTAGGGATACATTTCGACACATTTGAGGATACAAAAGTATCTATCTCTCACATTCAAACCCATTTTCTGCAAGTCACTACAAGAGTCAAGAAGTATAACTGTTATGTCAGATTGAACTAAGGGCAAGCCTTACTAGTGCTAAACAAAATTTCCTTTAGATACCTGTAATAAAGATGTCGGTTCCCTAAAGAAACTTGTGGTGATATTTTGTTTGTAATCTAACAAATTACAGCTTGTCTAAAGATCAGAGTGTAGATTAGCCATAGAGGCCAGGCAGTGGTGGTGCACACCTTTAATTCCAGCATTTGGGTGGCAGAGGCAGGTGCATCTCTGTGAGTTTGTCTAAAAGAGAAACAGAGCCAGGAGGTGGTGGCTCATGCCTTTAATCCCAGTACTTGGGAGTCACACACCTTTAATCCCAGCACTAGGGAGGTGGAGACAGGAAGGGATATGGCTGGGTGGAGAGAGGAATATAAATAAGGCTAGAGGAGACAGGAGTTCATTGCATTTAGTCTGAGGATTTGTGGAGACAAGATCTTGCCCCTTTCAGGCTGAGGATTCTGTAGAGTTAAGAAGTCTCTCTGGTGGCGGGCTCCTTTATTGATCTTTCAGCACTTACCCCAATATCTGGCTCAGATTTTTTATTCTTTTTTTTTTTTTTTTTGAGACAGGGTTTCTCCATGTAGTTTTGGTGCCTGTCCTGATCTCGCTTTGTAGACCAGGCTGGCCTCGAACTCACAGAGATTTGCCTGGCTCTGTTTCCCAAGTGCTGGGATTAAAGGCGTGCGCCACCGCTGCTCGCTGTTTTTTTTTATTAAGACTAATTAGAATTTGTGCTACAGAAACTCAAGACTTTTCCTTTCTGAAAGTGAGAATTGTTTGACAGGTTGATAGATAGTAGTTCTCATTTTGCCTTGATCAGAAGTTCCACAGTGATATTTAAAAGATCCTTTTCTGTCAAAATTTTGTAGGTTATTGATGAATATAATCCTTTTGCCTTCTCTTTAAAGTCTGAATGTTGCTCATTATTCTAACACTGCATCTAATGATTCTGTCTGTTTAGAAAGAAGTTCACCATTAGCCCAGGCTGACTCTGAACTTGTGATCTTCCTATCTAAGCTTCCCCAATGCTAGAGACATGGGCATGCATCACCTTCCCCAGGCCTCTCTTAACACAGTCTTATCATCCACCTTGAAACCTTAATGCAAAGGAGATGGAAATATATGTATGTGCTTAAATATATTAATGTAAGTTGATAAATATCTATTTAGAAATATTTGTGATAGAAAGGCAAATTATACTTGCCTGTATGACAGCTATTATGCTACTTGACAAAAATAAGTAACTCATTTTAATTCTAAAATATTTATGAGCAAAATAGCATAAACAGCTTATAGATAGGAAAACTAGATGTACATAAACTTAGGCAACTTTCCCTGTCTACATAGATAAGAGACAGCAGAAGTAAATGAAAACACAAGCCAGCAGAATCTCAAACTCAGTTATTTATACTGCTGCATTATGCCAAGCTTCCATGTAAGATAATGCAAGATTTTATAATTGTGCTGAAAGCATATAGAAGCCGTTTGTGGGTAGCCAAGTAGACGTAGTAAGTTGAACAGTGCCTACTTAACTTTAATAGGACCTTAGCATTGGGCTTTATTTGGAAATATAAACTTGCAACTATAGTAGATAAAATGATGCAATAATGAATTAGGTGAGACTCTTAATCCAGTAGCGGAAGCCCTAGTTGAAGATGGAAGCAGACACTGGAGTGATTAGCAACAAGCCAGAAGTACCAGACAGTTGAGAGATATGTCAAAACGACAAAGAGGTAATATGCAATACTTCTCTAGAACCAACGGAAGAAACATGGTCCTGAGACCACTTTGATTTGGGCCTTCTAGCCTTCAGAACTGTGAGAATAATTTCCATGGTTTAAGAGAGCCACTTTGACCTACTTCGTTACAGCAGGCACTGGTTTTAAATGGTCATAGAAACAACAAAAGATTGAAACACACAAACTAAATTTTCACAATACTAGACATCAAACAATGAAGTACAGTAATCTGAGAGGCAGGAAACAAAAGGAACAGCCATGTGATTGCCTAGAACACTGTCTAGGGGAAGTTCCTATACCACCACACAAGGAAGAAGCCAGGCAGAACCCGACCAACCTCTGAGCAAAAAGCAGATGGACTAAAGAGTCTGATGGAAGCCAAGAGTTCACAGAAGAGGGCACTGGGAATCAAACCTGCATTCTCTAGAAAAACAGCCAGTGTTCCATTAAGTCAACTCTCTAGCCCTAAGAGGGTAAATTTTCAACCCAGAATTCCAGTATCATCAGACTACAGGGAAATGTTTTTCCCTAGAATTCCAAACCCCATGAAAATATTTTTAAAAAAAGAAGGAAAAAGGCATTTACGAATGTCAAAGATTAAAAAAAAGGCATCTTTACCAGTGAACCTTGACTTATAAATATTGAAAGAAATCTCACAGAAATTAAGAGCAGCAAGGAATAATATATGTCCAGAAATTAATAAAATCAATGGAAGAGATCACTATACACATCAATGTTTAAACTCATTTCTGTATTACAAAATTATCAAATTTTAATATAAAAAATAATATAGGATTTATAATGTAACAGATTTTACAGTTGAAAGGAGGAGAGAAAAATGTTTTTTGTTTGCTTGCTTTTATGTTCTGAGACAGAGAGCCTTGCTAAGCAGTCCAGGTTGATCTTAAATCTGTAATCTTCCTGCAGTACCTTCCTAAGAGGTAGGATTTCAAGTTCCTGAAACCACATGCAGTCAGAAAAAAACAGCTTTATCACTACATATAAAATGAGATATCACTTGACAGAAAACGTAATGTGAGACAAGTTAACGATGTATACTTGAACACTGATGACTTAAAATTACAACAAATGGTCAATTTCTCACTGGCATTTATAGGAAATCCCACTTAATGCAGCAGGCTGCATATTAAAGTGTACATAAGATCTTCACTGAAAAAGACTACATTCCAGACCATAAAATAAGCCTCAGAGGAGTGAATGCACACAAAGCATTTTCTCTGATGATAGTGAAATTAAATATCAATGACACTAAGATCTCTGGAAAATTCCCACTTATCTGGACAAAATGACTGCTGTGTAAATAACCTATGGGCTAAAAACAAACAAAGAAATGAAATTAATCTTAACTAAATAAAATTATAAATGAATAGAAAACATATGAATATAGGTGGGTTGCTGTCAGAGGGAACATTTGTGTTCCAGAACCAAACTCTTAGACAAATGACCTCAGTTTCCATATTAAAACATAACAAAATAGAGCAAATTAAACCCCAAATAAGCAAAAGAAATCATCGTCTTGTGGTGCAGATGACTGCTTTGAAAGCAACTCTTTTAAATTAATTTTAGTACATCTGATGCCCTACACATCTGACTAGAAACATGCACAGTTGTGTATGCAAACTTTGCATATTATGCAAAATTGACAAAGTTAAAAAGCATGTAAAGTCGTTCATGCAAAGTAGCCAAGAGCCACTGCTCAGCCCGATGTCTCTGCTAAAGGAGAGCGAGCACCGGTGCCTTCAGCCAGCCAGAAGCCACCCTGAGCTAACAGCAGCAGGCCAGAACAGGCCCTGCTCCCCTCTGGCCATGGGCCAGGGTAAATAGCCTGAGCTAACTCTGAGGAGAAAAAGATTCCAGAAGCCACAACACCTGTATGAGAAAGTGAGACAACGCATGCATAAAAACTATGTAAGCCTTCTAAAGAATGAGAGGTGTTAGACATCTGTAAGTCTGTACCCAATTACTCATTTTTCAAAATAGTTCTATCTGTATTGCTGCGGTTTTTGTAAGGCCTTCCAGCTAACCACTGTGTATTAGTTGATAGCTGTGTTCTATAAAGTCTTATAAGTAAGCTGTTAACATTCTACAGAAGGACAGCTTCTGACAAGGGAACCTAAACATTTTTGAAATGCTACGATATTTCCCACAGGAAAAACAGAATGGACTTTAGGCAAACCTGGCCTAAGAGCCATATCGTCTATATTCCATTGCTTAAACTGAGCCGAAAGGGCTTATTGGCCCAAGTTATCCCTGACATCTGTCACTTATCTTCTTCCCCCAGTGTAGGTCCAAATCAGACCAACCAGGATCAGTCTTTCCCTAGCACTGTGGAACAACAGAGAACAACCTCCCAGAGGGTTAATCAACAATGTCTTCAGAAAGTATTGAGAGTCCATGGGGGAGACCGTCAGAACCGAAGCAGTCATGGTGGGCATGCAATCCCACCGTTTGGAAAGCTGAAACAAGAGGAACATCATTTTGAGGCCAGCCTAGGCTTTAAAATGAGACCCTTTCTCAAACCAACAAGACGGAATTGCTTATGCCAACCCTTTCAAAAGTAACTAAATGCCAAGAGGTTGTGAAAAATGGTTCTTACGCATGGCTACCTGGCACTAATGAAACAGCTCTAACCTAGGTCACTAGTTGTATTTTATATATTATATGTTTCATGGAAATGTTCCCCCTCAAGATTAAGGAGCTAAAACATGAAGTGGGAAATGTCAGATGACTGGCAGGAATGATGACGTTTTAAAGAGATAGAAGCAGACTACTGGACAATGGACCCCAAAGAAATGGGAAATTTCCTCAGGAGTCTCATGCTGAGAGAAGAAAAAGGCAACAGCCAGAGGGGGAGCTTGTTTCTGAGAAGGAGACTTCATACAGTTCTAGCAACTTGTCAGACCACCTTCCAGGGAGAGACTGAAGCCCAGACAAGGCTGGGTCACTAGTGGGCTGGACCACACTTTGACCAGGACTGCTTGGATGTGCAAATCCTTGACCCCCTATTTAAACTCTGATTTCTTCTTCAGAACAACAAACACATCCTTGCGGGGTTCTCCGTATCTCTTTGCTTTTCTTCCCCATGTGACCACATTGAACAAGTCTCTTTTTTTTTCTGCTTTATACTTAAAACAAAATTCTATAAAAACGTTTCTATAATCAGAACGCTGTGCTACCAGCAATAAACCACACAAAAGTGATGGACAGAAGAGGACAGGGTGCCAAGCAGCCATGCAATATATGGACAAGAGACTTTTTGGCAAAGACAGAACCAATTCAGTCTTTGAAACAAATTCAGTATTTGAAATAAGTAGTGCATGAATAACCACACATTCATATGCGAAACAAATAAGGAGCTGCCTCATTCAAATGCATTCCAAATGCATCACTGACTTAAGTGCAAACCCCGCAATGACAGAACTTCTGGAACGAAACACAGCAGACAATCACTGTACACTCCAGTTAGGAAGATGGTTGAGATGCAATGCCAAAAACCATGATCCATAAAAGACTGCAATTCATAAAAATTAGAAATTCTGATCTTTAAAAGACATTATTTAGTGAGTAAAAAGATATAACCACAAACTGAAAGTCTTTGCCCATCTTGTATTTTGTAAAGTTTGTATAAAACAGATCATATGAACACACACATACATATAATACATATACACACACACATATGCACAGAGAACAATCCCACTGAAGAATAAACAAAAGACATGAAAGGAGGTTTCAACAAAAGATATGCAGATCAATATATGAAAAGACTCTTGACCTAACTAGTGGGCAGGTAAATTCAAATCAAAGTTGTTTTATATTATATAAATATATTATAAATTATAAATTAACTAAAATTAGTAAGATTGGTCATATCGGCCTTTTTCTTTTCTTTATTTCTTCCTTCCTTTCATTTTCTTTGTTGTTTATTTGTTTGATTTTTAACACAGGGTTTCTCTGCTTTTCTAGCCAACCTGGAATTTGCTCTGTAGATCAGTCTGGCCTCAATCTCAAGAGATCTACCTGCTTCTGCCCCTGCCTCCCAAGTGCTGGGATTAAAGGTGTGTGCTGCCACAACCCAGCTCATATCAGTCTTTTTCAATAAAATAATTTGAGACTTTTTTTTTTTTTTTTTGGTTTTTCGAGACAGGGTTTCTCTGTGTAGCTTTGCGCCTGTCCTGGAACTCACTTGGTAGCCCAGGCTGGCCTCGAACTCACAGAGATCCGCCTGGCTCTGCCTCCCGAGTGCTGGGATTAAAGGCGTGCACCACCACCGCCCAGCTATAATTTGAGACTTTTATACACTATGGTTGGAGTATTGGGTAGGAGGACTACAGGGAGACCACTTCTATGTAATGTTAGTCTTCTACGAAGCTAAACATTGCTTGCTCACTATGCTATCTCTAGGGATATAAACAGAGGAAATGGTATCTGATCATATAAGGCCTTACAGATGATTACTCAAAGGAGTATAGCAATTGCCAAAACTGGAAAGATCCCAAATGATCCCAAACAAGAGAATACAGAGAATTACAATGAATAATTAAAAGGAAACATTACTGATAAATCCAACAACATGGACATATCCTTATTCTGACCAAACATGATATATAATTCCATTTATATCTCTAAATTACTAGAGAAAGGGGGGAAGAAAAAAATTAAGGAAAAACAACAAATACATAAGGAAGCTATGGGAGTGATGGACATGTCTACCTTGAATATGGTCTCAGTCCTGTAATTATTTGCATACATTAAAATTTACACGGTTCAGGAGTAGGATGCCTGTCTAACAGTGCAGTCCTTGGTTTGGTTCCTAGCTCTGCCACACAAAACAGAACAAGAGCAAAACTTGAAATATTTACTCTAGTTAGACAAGCTAAGAATTATCAGGGAATACAAACTTATTCATGTATTAATATTCCCATGTACAAAGTTCATCAAATAAACAATGAAATAAACAAAAATCCACAGTTACTATAAGTCAGGACTTGAATACTCACTTAAAGGATCCATATCATTCTAACTAAATCTTAAAACTTTTCATCTTAAGTGACAGCAAAACCATATAATATTAAAGTCTCTTATTATTCACCCAGTCTTAGAAACAGGGCTTATTCTTTATTAAATGAAAAACGTCTTAAAACTCTGCACCAGTCTCCTAGTGTCAGGTCTCAGGGAATGTTCAGGAGCTCATACCTCTCAATAGCTGTTCTTGTTTCACCACAAGTCCCTGGTACTTTTTAAAGGTTTTGTCATAATCCTTTCTCAACGTCTGATTTTCAAGGTCTTCATCAAGTGAAACTCAAGTTAAGGATCACAGGCATGAAGTGAAGAAAATGTACTGGACTACTTTGACAACAGTGCTATTATGTTTTATATGCAAATTATTACTATTTATTAAGACAGGGTTTCATTATGTAACTCTGGCAGACCTGGAACTTACTATGTAGACTAAGCTTGCCCCAAACAAACAGAGATCCAGCTAACTCTGCCTCTGGAGTGCTGGTGTTGAAGACATGGGTGCTATCAAGCCTGGCTACAACTTTATTCCCTATCCAACAGTTCAACTAGAATCTTAACTGCAGGACTATGCATAACAGGACATGCTAGCCAAAGATCCCATAATTTCCTTGGAGTCCTAGAATGATGAATTGTTTGAACTTCACCAAATACTTGGATTTACATGCAAATATCTTATTAAAGTTGCCAAGTCTATAACTTCCAGCAAACTTTATAAGTGGGTCCATTAAAAAGATTACTTTCTTTACAGAAATTGATGTAGTTGCTAAGAATAAAAGACTCCTGGCCAAGAAAGGCCTGACTCCCTCCCAAATAGGTGTGATCCTGAGGGACTCGCATGGTGTGGCGCAGGTCCGTTTTGTGACTGGTAATAAAATCCTGAGAATCCTTAAGTCGAAAGGCCTTGCCCCTGACCTCCCTGAGGATCTGTACCATTTGATTAAGAAAGCAGTGGCTGTCCGAAAGCATCTTGAGAGGAACAGAAAGGATAAGGATGCTAAATTCCGCCTGATTCTGATAGAGAGCAGAATTCACCGGCTGGCTCGTTACTATAAGACTAAGCGGGTCCTCCCACCCAATTGGAAATATGAGTCATCCACAGCCTCTGCTCTAGTGGCATAAATTCTTGTGTACACAGCAATAAAATCACTTTGAATAAAAAAAAAAAAGAATAAAAGACTCTACTTGAGGCGGACACCCAAAATATTCAAATATGCAGATTAAATCTAAAGGTTTTTAGCACCTTGCTCAGGTTAGAGACTCCAAGAGAAAGATATTTAAACCAGGAGGTGGTGGCCCACACCTTTAATCCCAGCATTTGAGGCAGAGCCAGGCAGATCTCTGTAAGTTCGAGACTAGCTTGGTCTTCAGAGTGAGTTACAGGACAGCCAGGTCTATACAAAGAAACCCTGTCTCGAAAAACCACACGTGAGAGAGAGGGGGAGAGAAATTTGATTCTAAAGAGTTCCAAAAAAGGAGATTTAATGAATGTACCACTCTGGCCAGACAGGACTTACTGGATAATAGCTTCAGGTCATGAGGAATTGAGTCAGGTTACTGGGCAATAGCCCCTAGCCATAAAGAATGGCTTATCCCCAGCCTGACTTCAGCTCCACCTGTAGAAACAATATGCCCAGGTATGGAAAACAACCCACTCTGGTCCCATTCAATAGTTGTAACTTCCTAGTAGGTACCTTTGTATATATACTTGTCCCCCAGCCCCTCTAAATGCACTCAACTTCCATCCTGTGGAAAGGCTGGCCCCTCACTGTTTCAATAAAGCAGTCTAAGTTTGCTATGATTGCATTTGTCTGCCTCTCTGCCTCATTTTCTTACAGGAATGATGCTTTCATTTCCAAAAAATACAAATAAATATTGTATTCAAAACAATGCTAGTGCCTACAATGGCTCACTGATCTATAAAAGATGTCATGTTAAGACAGGTATGAACAGTCAAAGACCTTTGAGCTAGAATTAAACTGTAAAGACAATATGGTAAGTATCTTCAAATGAGATTACTGTAATGTTGAAGACAACATCCTTATGCTATATCAGTATGAAAAACTAAAATCAAGAGATAGAAGTTATCAGAATGTAGACTATAGCTCAAAAAACAAAGAAACACTAAAGTAAATGGAATTCCAACCCCCAAATGCCTTAAGCCAATGGGCAATAACACTTAAAGGAAAGTGTTTGAAAGCATTTGTGAAGGAACCTAAAAAAAAGAATTTCCAAGGTTCCATTGATAGGTTCTAGCATTCTATAGCTCTCTCAAATTTGCATTAATATTTTTTCACTTAACTAGAAAAACTGAACTTCATAGAAAAGTAGAACTGTAGTTTCCTTGAAAAACTAGGTTCATCGAGAAATGTAATCCATCCCCATCCAAGTTACTTGGAAGTATACATGCAGCAGAGGTGAGCCAGGCTTTACCAAACACATGGGTCATGGTGGACCCAAAGTGCAGTCACTTAAAGACTCAATTATCCAGTATGCTGATGACTTCATTCTTCTACCTCATTAAGTGGTTAAATGTTAACAGACAAAATGTCTGTCAAACTGTTTATTCTGATAATTCCAATCTCTATCTTTTCCTCTGACATTCTTACATGATTTTAAAATAATGTGACAGGAATTAAAAACAGAAAGAACAAACCCACCCTATCCATGCAAAGCATCTGAGCACAGGCAGCAGGTCAAAATGGCACCTAAAGGATATCAGCTTTCTTCTTCTTAGAAAGTTCTTCTTGCCAAAGCTCATGTCTTTTTAACTCATGATCAATGATATTCATACACAGTGCTCCAATTTTATAATGAGTGATGAGTCCATGAAAATGAGAAAAGCTTCAAAGAAGAAATTTTAATAGACATTAAAAAGAAAACATTTTGTTTATATAGGAGATTTGATTTTGGCCCAAACTCCCATAAACCATACAAAACGTAAGTCTGACACACATTTCAATGAATGAATATATCACAGTATAGTAAGAAAATCTGAAATTATGAGATTATCTTAAATATGTGTTAATATTATACCCTCAACTTAAATATAATTAATCATTAAGCAAGCTTTCATGATTAATTACAGTATTAACTACTAAGATAGTTTCAGAATACATTTGGAATATTGTCTAACAAAACTAATATTATGATAATGCCAGGTATTCATTTCATTTGTTATATAAAATTGATGACAGTGAATAAACTGGTAACATACTAGTAATCAGGTTTTTTTTTTTTTTTTTTAAAGGTCTACCACACGGCAGAGACTAATTTTTTTTTAAAGATTTATTTATTTATTAGGTATACAGCATGTGTGCCTGCAGGCCAGAAGAGGGCACCAGATCTCATTACAGATGGTTGTGAGCCACCATGTGGTTGCTGGGAATTGAACTCAGGACCTCTGGAAGAGCAGTCAGTGCTCTTAACCTCTGAGCCATCTCTCCAGCCCAGTAATCAGGTTTTATATATATTTACTAAATAATTTATTCAAGTACTTATTCAGGAAAATTTCTTTGCTAATGTTGGTTTATTATTAAAATATAATTGGCTAGAAATTTTTCATAAAATCTCAATAACACCTTTACTAAGAACATATACAGGTAAATAGAATACATTTAACTATTAAAAGAATAAAATTTCACAGTTTATTAGATACCTGAATGGAACTGGAGGGCATTATATTTAAATAAGTCAAATAAAGAAAAGCAAATGACATATGTCCTTGTTCATATATGTGGAAGGAAAGAGTTGATTCATGTAAAGAGAGTACACTAGAGACTTCGAGAGATTAGGAAGGGTTAAAACTAGGGAGGATAAAGGGGAGCTGGATAATGGGTACCAAAACCAGCACACAGTCACATAGGAGGAATATGTTCTAATTTTACAGCACAGTAGGGTGACTACAGTTCTCAACACTTTATAATATATTTTAGAAAGAACTGAAAGAGAGTTCAAACATGCCCAATACAAAGAAATGGTAAGTGTTCACAGAATTGGAAATGTCAACCACCCTGATTTAATCATTTACATATTGTCACATGTAATCCAACTATCAAACTGTGTCCCCTAAGTGTGCCTAAATTGATAAAAATTGAAATACAGAAGTATGTGTATAATAAATGTGTGTATTTGAATGTTCATAAGTATATATAAGTCCAATAGTACTTACTCTGTACCAGGCTTTTAACCTAAGTATTTTAATTCTGAATCATTTAATCCTAAAAACTACCAGAAAAGAATGTGGCTATTACTATGAAAATTTTACACAGGAACTGAGGCCAAGAGAGATTAAATAAAAAAACTAAGAGCACACAGTGAGTAAACAATAGACATTACATTCAAACTGAGATCATTTCTTCCAGAACCATAATCACACTCCAAACTATTATGCCAACTGGAGTGTATATGAATGTGTGTGCACATGTGTGTGCATGCGAGAATGTGTGTGTGTGTTTGCGCCGATACAGGGAAGTGTAGACATAATGAAAGAATAACAGAGTAAAAAGCCAGCAATAAGAAGCAGAGCATGGACAGATACACAAAGACTGAGAACCAATGGGCCACACGCTGGTACAGGCAGACCACAGCAGAGCTCAATTAGTCCTTTTAGAATCGTTATACTTACCTAGAAAAGCAAAAGAAGATATAAATGATGTTTGTAGCTAACTCAACACTTTGTTTCCAGTCTTCTCTCAGGACTCTCGCTAGCGCACCCAGGGCAGTTTCTAAAGAAAAGGAGACATACGGATGTGATCATTTACCTCGCCTTTGATATAAAGGGAGGTTGGTTTTAAATGTCTACTTATGAATAAGTAACAAAGCCAAGATGGAACTGGGACAAAAAAGTAGGATGTTTCTTTCCAATACAGAAAGCTAATTTAGAAGTATAATTTAACTTTTACTCAAAACACCTGACATACAAGTGTATGCAGTAAAGAAACCAACTCTGACTTAGAGAAATGTGACAGTAAGATCATCAAAGGCTGTCCATTTCCTGACTTGTTTCTGCTTGGAATCTTACTATTGTACTACCTTCGTTTTTTTCTTTAATATCTGATTTACTCTGCTAAACTGCTCATTTATATTCTAGTTATATCAGCCAACTTAGCTCCATTAAGGTAAAAAAGTTAAATTTATGTGAAGAAATGTAATATTTACATATCACATATCAACAGACAAATAAAATAGAAGTTTCAGAAAATAACTCCTTGGAAGTATAAAGTATTTCTGCTAGAAGAAGGCATAGTTAATTGATTAATGAATATTTGGAGGCATTAAGTAAATAGGAGGTCAGTTTTTTTTTTTTTTTTTTTTGGTTTTTCGAGACAGGGTTTCTCTGTGTAGCTTTGCGCCTTTCCTGGAACTCGCTTTGGAGACCAGGCTGGCCTTGAACTCACAGAGATCCGCCTGGCTCTGCCTCCCGAGTGCTGGGATTAAAGGCGTGCGCCACCACCGCCTGGCTAGGAGGTCAGTTTTAAGTGAGTTATTGCAAGGCTTTTTTTTTTTTTTTTTTTTTTGCAAAAGTATGTATTTGTGGTACCTGTGTGTTTGCATATGTGTGAGCACACATACACAGAGGCCAGAGGCTGATACTAGGAGTCTTCCTCAATTGTTTGCCACCTTATTCATTGAGGCATAGTCTCTCAGCTGAAACCAGAGCTCCCCAGATGGTTACTCTAGCTAGCTAGCTTGCTGTAGGAATTACATGTCTGCATAAGTGGGATGCCACTCCCACCAAGTATTCATGTGAAAGCTGGCCCTCACGTGCTGAGAACCACACAGGTCTTCACACCTGCATGGAAACCACTTTGTTCACTCAACTATCTCCACGTAGTCCCACTCAATTTTTAAAAATGCTAACACATAGAAATCATAATTCCACTGTCATTAATGAAAATTCAAGATCTACTGTATTTAGCAGACTGATTAACAACATTTATTATAGATACAAAATGTTCAGCTTATTTCATCTTTCTGGTTATTCAGATTATGAAATAAGAATTACCTGTGTTAGTATTAATCAATTTAGTAATGAACCTTTTTTAAGCAATTTAAAAAATATTTGTCGATAATATTTCACAATCACAGTAGGTCTTTAGACTAATGCAAGCTTTGGTCAAAGTTATTAAAAAAACACATAAACAGATGGGCAGTCCACACTCAAATGTTCAAAAATTTCTACTTAGTAGGAAATCCGGCTTCACTTTTTCTATCAAATCTATCTATCAAATGATCAAACTGGATCATTTATCTTACAAATGAATTAAACTGCGCACTAGAAAGTGAAGCCAGAGGATCAAGAATTAAAGGCTAGCCTTAGCCACATGTGCATTCAAGACCAACCTGTGCTATATGAGACCCCGTCTCAAGACAACAACAAAAATCCACCTCCCACTCCCAACTCCAAAAAAAAAAAAGAAAGAAAGAAAGAAAAAGAAAAAAGAAGACCACCCAAACTAAAGAGATTTAATACATGAAAACAGCCTGGGGAAATAGCTCTAGTGACAGCCTGCTCTTAACATGTATAAGGCCTTGGGTTCAATTTCATGCACCAAAAGTAAAACTACAGAAAATAACCAACAGTATTGTATTGGTACAGGCCTCATCTGTGTGGAACAATCTTTTTTACACTGTGAAGATGTGTTGCTCTCATTGGTTTAATAAAGAGCTAAATGGCCAATAGCTAGGCAGGAAGAGGTTAGGCAGGACTTGTGGACAGGGAGAGAACTTGATGGGATGAAGAAGGGTGGAGTTGCCAGGAAATGTGGTGAGAAGCAAGATGAACATGCTGTGTTGAAAAAAAAGTACTGAGCCATATGGTAGATAATAGATAAGAAATATGGGTTAATTTAAGTTGTAAGAGCTAGTTAGTAACAAGACTAAGCTATCGGCTGATCATTTATAATTAATAATAAGTCTCTGTGTGGTTGTTTTGGAGTTGGCTGGCAACAGAAAATTCCGCCTACACTCATCAACTAGACCAATGGAACAGAAAGAAGATATAGCATACCCCTCACCATGTGGGAGGTGTACCTGGCCAGGAATAAGTCTCTGGAAGAAACAGCATCTGTTCCATGAAGGAATAGCAGGCACACAGGAACAATAACAAAAGGAATTTGGATACCCAGGTTAGGTCATGTTCTGATCACTAATTCAATGGGAATGAAGGACTGCACAACATGAAGAATCTTCAGTTTACATCTCTATATCCGTCACTTTAACACAAATGAATTCTGGGCCAAGTAACCAGTAGGACAGCAGACTAAAAACCCCAAACAATCCACTCTTCCATACAAGAATTAGCAAACTGGTAAAAAACTGTCAAAATTGCTATTTGCCATATTGCTATTTATACTATATTGCACATGCCATTAACCTGCTGGCAGTCTGAGGCATGAAGACATGAAATTGAAGCCAGCTTGAGCTATGTAATGAAACACTATCTCAAAAGTAAATTGCAAAATCAAATTTTACTTAAAAATGGAGAATTACCTTAGGTAATTTATGCTCACCATTAGTCCCAAAGTATTTATTGAAGAAAAATGGTAAACTTTGATAAGAAGAGAGAGCACTGTGACAAGTAAACTTATCTTAATCCTTCTCTTCCTTGCTTCACTGTGGTGGATTGGTAAGATCTGAGGTGGGCAGAGTCTGGAACTTCCCTCAGACCCCACACCAGAAGAAGCTAGAGAAAAGCTGGGTTCACGGGGTGCAGAGAATATTCAGTTGTCATTTATTTGACTTAGAGCTTGCTGTGTGCAAACAGCCTTGTACTTAGGGTATTTGGAGAAAAGTACTGTAGTAGCATCATAATGCCTGAGATAGGCTTAACAGTTTGTAAGCAGGATTAACAAAAGGCTATTAAAATATTTTAAAGGAAAGCTAAAAATCAGATATTTTCAGGAGCTTTAAAGGGGTCAAACATATTCTTGTTAAACCTAAAAAGCCACATAGAGACAGGTACAGAATTGTAGGCCTACCACAGAAAGCCCTAGAAAGCCCTTAATCTATTAATTCTGGCTGAATTTGAAACTATAACAAGGAAAGCAGTCTTATATGTAAAGTGCTTCAACACTTAGGATACATCCTAACATACACAGAGGTCTTCAGCAAGGGTAGGGAGACATTATTATTTGACATTTAATGAGATATTAGCACAATCATTGCCCAATAAGCTAAATGAGCAGAAACTTCAGTGACTCAAAAGGTATACCAACTTGGCAGAATTAATCCACAAACCTCAGCAAACAAACAAAGAGCATCAAAAAAAGCCATGGGGTAGCAGGAATATGGTTTTCAGAGTTGTCACATATTGTTCCAACAGAAACAACTCCCCAGAGGAAGAAACATGACCCATGCTCAGGTAATAGTTATCAATGAGGACTGTCCATGAAAAGGCACAGACACTGAGCTTGTGAGACAAAGACTTTAAATCAGCTATTAGACACTCAGAGCTATTATACACTTAGAGGAGGAGCTGGAGAGATGTGTGGTTAGGAGTACTTGCTGTGCGATCGTGAGGACCACGTTTAGATTTCAGCACCCAGGCAAGCCACAGGCATCCCTCACACTTTCACTACAGCGGCTCCCAGAAGGTGAAAGCAGGAGCACTGCTGAGGTCTGCTGCACTCTAGCCCAGTGGTGAAAACCCGTGTCCCAGATCTAGGTGGAGACTTTGCCTCAAAGAATAGGTCGAAAAGGATAGAGGCTCTCATCTGGTCTCCAAACACACACCTGCTGCACACATGTATACACATTCAAATACACAGACACATAATCACAAATAAATGAAATCTAAAAATTAAAGTAAAGCATTTCTATAGATTTAAAGGCAGGTACGTGAGGGAACGGGAATGACATTTTACCAAGGAGACATGAATTATAAAAAAAGACAAAAACAGCCAGGCGGTGGTGGCGCACGCCTTTAATCCCAGCACTCGGGAGGCAGAGGCAGGCGGATCTCTGTGAGTTCGAGGCCAGCCTGGTCTCCAAAGCGAGTACCAGGAAAGGCGCAAAGCTACACAGAGAAACCCTGTCTCGAAAAACCAAAAAAGACAAAAACAAGAAATATGTACCTGAAGAGTACAAAAGCTGAAGTTAAAATTTACTGGGCATCTAAGCAGCAGACATGACACAGAAAAAGTTAATATAAATATTTTAGATTAGTCAGTCTGAAAAAAAATAGAGAAGGAAGTCAAAATGAACAGACCCTCAAACATATATGGAGGAGAACAAAACACAGAAACATAAATGACGGAGGTCCAGAAGCATATAAAGGTGCAAAATGAACACATAATGAGATAATAGCTAAAAACTTCTTGTTTGCTGAAGACCAAAAAGGCAAACACTCCAAATATACCACACTGAATGATAGCAACACTTAACACACCATGGTCAGGGTCAGACTTGCAAAAACAAAGGCTAAGAGAACCAAAGCATGAAGGGAAAAGCAACTTGTGTCTACACAGGGTTATCCATAAGACGGTTAACAGGTTTGCCTCCGAAAGCGTGGAGGCATGCAGATGAGAATGGCCCATGAAGGTGCAAGAGAACTCCTGTCATCACCTGTTGGGGGCACAGAGCTCCTTGTGCCCACAGAGCACCACAGAACCAGTAACGCTAAACACGCAGGGCCTCTCCTCAAAGGAGCAATGACCTGTTTTCCACCCAGAAGGCTGGGAGTGGAGATTGTAAATGACCTGGTGACCTTTTTGCTATTTGAGAGGCAGACCTCACCCAGGATGTTTACCCCAGACTCTTCCCTCCCTAGGCCACTATCTTTAGCTCCCAGTTAATGGAACCCATTCTCAGGGGAGATGTCACATGGACTGCTGACCTCTATGCTATCTAGGTCAGAGACCACACTAAATTCTAGACCTTTTAGCTACAGAAACTACCCTTCTGGTCACATGTACTTTGTAAAGGAATTTCTATGTAGTCACATCTTAAGCTTTATGTGCACCTGGAATGGGAATAATTGTTGCCTAGGAACTTTTGCCCAAATGGTACTGTGTTTTAAATATGCTGACAATGAACCACCTGGCATCAGACTCCCCAGGTGTGATCCAGCTTTTTGAAGCCAAGTTGAATTGAGTTTTCATTCTCACCTCTTCGCAGATCACTGCTGAACTGACACCTACAGCCCCTCAGCCATCTGCCTGTAACTCCAGAGCGTGGAAGGTGGGTCACTGGGGCAAGCTAACTAGCTAGACTAGTCATAACCTCAAGCTCTGGGTTCAACTGAGAGACAAACAATAAGGCAGACAGTAAGTGAAGAAGACTCTTGATATCAGCCCTGGGCCTCTACACACACGAGAGTGTATACTTTTACAAAGAAGTGTGTCATGCACTTGTGAACATGCATACAGATATGCACATACCCCACACATACATATGCAAGAAATACACCATTAGTATTATTACAGTACAAAGGAGTGAGGAGGGAAAGAGTAAAAGGGGATATTGGAACAAGGTTCTGTAGACTGTTAAAATATAATTTGAACAAGACTGTTCGAACCTGTCAATTGTAATGTCAGGGCATTGCTAAGATAATAACTCAGGAAAACATAATGACAGAAAATTAGCTTAAAATGGCAAACTAGAAAACATCTAGTGTAAAAGAAAACACTAGAAGAAAACAGAAATAGAAGAGTAAAATGGTCAAGAATCATGATAAAATTTTTCATAATTTAAAAATATATAAACATGTTAAAAGTTTGGTCATTCATAGCAAATACAAAATGCCAAAACTACCTAATGAGCATTACATCAATATTAAATAGACTAAACACACCAATAAACAGAAATGGATTACAGAATGTATGGTGATCTAGTCATATGTTAATTCCAACAAACTCTTGAGATTCAAAAACACAAGCAGGGTGAAAATAAAAAAAGTGGGAAAATAGACCTACCATGGAAAGAGAGAAGGAGAGGAAGGTAAGTAATAGATTGAAAATATTCCTAATACATAGAAGAAAAAAGAAAATTCAGAATATAAATATTTAAGACATGAAAAAATGTATATGTTCATTTGTGTACATAAAATATTGAAGACCTCAGTACAAACTTCCAGGGTAGGCTTGTTTTACATAATTCTTCAATTTTTAATATTTAGAAAGAGAAATCACCATTTAATAGTAGTTCTTCGAGGTTATCAGGATTTCGAGCCAGTTGCAGGATCAAGGCGGAACCCCGCACCTTGTCTGGAATATCTTCATAGAGCAGCTCAATGTACTCATCCATGTCGTTAATGTTGGCCACCTCGTCAATCTGAAACACAGGCGGGAAGCACTCAGCAGCTCTGACAGACAGAAGGACGTTTTGTGATCAATATATTACTTATAGTTCCCAAAGAACGGATAATAGCCATCTTTTTGTGGATGGAAATTTTAGGCCTCTGTGTACTAGAATGCTAATATTAACCTATAAGCACAATAAAATAGAACATACATAAACTCTACAATTTGTCTCTCAATGTATTTTAAATGTAATACAAAGTTATTTGTACCTACTATAAAAGATTAAATATTTTAAAACTTATTTCAAAATGTTCAGAATATTTTTGCCACTTATTTTAATAAAATTAAAATTATGTGTTAAAAAGCACTACCAACAATTTTTGTTTTTAACAATTAAGCATTGATTTTTCTGCTTTTTAAGGTATCTCTAAACTGAACCATTTAAAATTCCACATCTGAACATGGCCTTATGCATTCCTGAAAGTAAAAGGGATGTCTGTAGTGTTTTGTTTAATAGATCAGAATTTATACGGTCTTACCTCCATTCCTTCAAAAGGAGGTGGATCTTTAGGCTTGCTTGATTTTTCTTTTTTTTCTGTAAAAAAGATTAAAAAAAAAAAAACCCTGAGAATTAGGTTTTAAGGGTTTGGGAATAATTAGTAGTTGAAATTAATGTTTCCTAAGCTGGGAGTATAAAACTAAATATTTGATGAAATTTTTTCAGTGCACAAAATACTTCCATGTAAAAATCAGCTATTTGTTCTAATGATGCTATCAAGGAGAACATAAACTAATAAAACCTATGACAAAACTTATATGTCATTTAAGATGGGAATAGGTAAATCAATAAAACAAAGAAAATGGTACAAATAATACAAAAATGAATAATATGAAAACTAAAGTTAACACATGAAGAGTAAGAAATAACAGCTAAATTGTAAGCTGAAATAAACAAGAGTGAATAATTTTTGTCTCAAAAGTGAAAAGTGAAGTAAAGGACATAAACTAAAGATGAATATTTGATATCTACATCCACTTAATCCTCATTTATTCCCAAGGAGGCATTCAAAAGTACTGAACACAATTTGGGCCATTTATCATACTATTCATTTAAAAGTATATTTTCATATTTTAAACAGAAACAATGCATACATTAAAGTAAGTAAATGAGAAAAAAAATCAAAGGAATGTTTAGTTAGCAATAAACATAGACATAACAGACTTGACCCTTACTGGGGACTACTTTGAAAGAAGGGGATTGATACCGGGTTATGAAAGGATGCTAGAAGTAAACATGAGCACCACATTCATGTATCAAGTTGTTATAATGAAAACCATGGTTTTATACAATTAACACATGCTAAGAAAAAAGAAATACTGCTATGAAGTATGAATGATGGGAAAAATTAGAATCAAGGTGTTGACAATAAAAATGTTAGACAGGGGGCTGGAGAGATGGCTCAGAGGTTAAGAGCACTGACTGCTCTTCCAGAGGTCCTGAGTTCAATTCCCAGCAACCACATGGTGGCTCACAACCATCTATAACAAGATCGGGTGCCCTCTTCTGGCCTGCAGGCATACATGCTGTATACATAATAAATAAACAAATCTTTAAAAAAAATGTTAGAAAGGACCATTCTTCCAAAGAGACATAAATAAATACTGAATTTAAAAGGAATTAACCATTTCCACTTTCAGAGGCAGCATCCATGAGAGATAAGGGCATATCATCAAAGCTAAATCCTGTCTCAAACAGATAATTTATTATAATAGTAGTTTTGATTAGCAAAGAAAAAGATATCACTTAAGCGATGAATCACAGTGTCCCAACTGACTATAGTCCTCTTTCCATTTCGTTAGGGTGAGGATTCTGGCTCTAAGTTATCAAAGTCTAAAAAGTTATAAAAACTGAATCATTAGACAAGGATAGTTTCAATACACAGAAAAACATATTATATACCTTCAACTATTAATGTGCAGAAAGAGAATAATATTGACTTGAATTATTTTGTCCACGTATAATGAACATTTTTCATAGTTCTTTTTTTCATACAGTATATTCTAATCACTAAGCATTCAATAATCCACTTGGTTACCTGTGCTTTCATTTGTATTTGAAAATGTTTTCTGAGCTCTAAAACATTAAGGTACAGTTTAATCATGAAGAAATTGAGGACAGGAAATGACAACAATAAATACAAGGATGAAAGAAATGGGATACTTTTCTAAGAAAAATTCATGAGAGCAATATCCCAGGGTCATCTAAAGCATGTGACATATATCATATGCATATTAAAACTTGAAATAAATAATTCACTGAGGTTATAAATTATGAATAATTAGGAAATTTAGAAAATAAAAAGCTAATTAGAACAGAGAAGATAACCTATGCCCTAAATGTGCTTTTTATTAGTACCATCATTATGACAGACTTATCGCCTTATTTCACAAATGTGTACATGTGCACATACAGTGTAACAGAGTCTGATGACTGGGTGTAGAAGCAGAGAACCTCCAATGTGGGAACCAAATCCATCTGTTGATCCTAACACTGGTAAGAACTCACAACCAAAATGAATATAGTTTTCTTAACTATGTATTTTATACTATACTATATTACATATACATTTACGAAGTAACTATAATATTTTTGAAGACTACAACCACACGCCTTTGGTTAAGCATTTAAAATCCCAGACTTCTTCCTCTTACCTTTACCTGACAATGAATCACGGCGGTTCTGTAGATAGTACAACAGCTGTTCTACCTCATTTAGCTTTGAGGGATGAATGAGTTTACATTCTTCAACCACTTTCCGGGCCAGAGAGGTTATATCTGTGTTAGCGTTGAGACTCTTCAGACGAATGCTGTAAGCACATCCAAATTTCCAATTCAGATATTACAAAAAGTACATGATAGATTCAAAAACACTACTTTAAGATAATTTATAGATTACAAACTATATAAAGAGTCTATACCTATCTGGCCATCCAATCTTATTAAAATAAGGATTTAGATATAATTAGGCTTATATAAATTCAAGGCAATCATTTTCTGTGAACTGCACAAAAAGATACTAAAAGCAACATAAATCTTTTAAGAGTTTCTGGACTAGATATACAGAAGTCCTGTTTTGAAGCAGAACTTCTGATGTAAAAACACAATCTTTATTTATTACTGAATATGAAATACACACTGCCAGAAATGATATTATTTATACTTAAATATGACAACATTTTTCCAGCTTTTCTTTACTTGCCACGCTGGGATTAGAACCCAGGACCTAACACTTGCTGGGAGAGTGCTATATATTCTGAGGTACTCTGGCATTCTTTCCTCTTAAATTGAGCTCAGGAAAGTCACGAGGAGTCTAAGAAGAAAAGATGGTGCAGAGGAGCACACTGGCCGGTTTACTGGATTCATGGCATGAGTGAGAACTATGAAAACATAAAAACAGGACTGTCAAGTAAATACTCCTATGCAAGACTTACATTCAGAAGGAGAAAACAACCAGGTAACCACTGTATAGAATTAGTTCTTTGTGAAGAGGGCTAATTTTTGTAGGAAGATAGCAGTCTACTACAGTGATAAGTATATAAGAATCCAGAGAAATACTTTGAACACAGCATCTGAGAAGCCAGCATTTAGACACAGATGACTTCTGAATCCAGTCTTAGCATGACTTAGATATCCTTTCCAGCTTAAATTTGCTATAATGACATCATTTATCTTATTCTGTCTTAAATCTATTCATTTTTGTTGTTGATAACTTTTAAGTGTTTAAAATCATTGATTTTATTTTGGACAGTTTTAGCTGAACATTGTAAGGTAGATATAAAGGATGGTCCATAGAAATAACCACAAAGACATCTCTACATTTAATTTTAACAAAGAGCTCAGAAAATTTGTTTGTCAATAAATCTGATTGAGAAGAGGCACAGGAAAAACTACATCAATAGCTGGGCATGATGGGAAAACTCAATTCTAGCACTTGGAAGGAAAACTGAAGATGAAGAACCATGAGCTCAAGGCCAGCCTAGGTTATACAATGGGACACCATCCTGAACAAAACCAAAATGAAACTCAATAAACATATCTCTAAATTTGTATTAGGCTTTTAGAGTAGATTAATTTTCTAGAAAAAGTGTTCACAAATACAGAAATTACAAATTTACCTCTCTCCCAGTCTCTACTGTGTGCTTCTTCTATGATTAGCATCTTGCCTCCTGTGGCATATTTATTATCTTTATCAAAACTCATAGAACACAGAGTGAACCATAATATAAGCTACGAACTAATACTGATACATCTAATTATTAACTGAGGGCCACAGCTTATATCAGCATTCATTCTGTGTTCTATAAATTTTTATAAATTATGTGTCAACTATTATAGTGTCATACATAAAAGTTTTATTGCTCTAAAAATGTCCTATCTTTTGTCCATGGTAATTTCTAACTTCTTTATTATACTTATAGTTTTGTCTCTTCCATAATGTCAGACAGTTGGAATTGATTAGTATATAGATTTTCCAGACTGACTTCTTTTGCATACCAATATAAATGTAGGGTCCCTCCATGTCTTTTTGTGCTTGATAATTAATTTCTTTTCATTCTGGATAATGCTTTATGATATGGAGGTATCAAAGTTGATTCACTCACTATTAAGCAATATTGATCTTGCTCCGGACTTCCCTTTTGGAAAACTGGTGAGTGCCCTTCCTTGCCCCAATATTTTGGTTGCTTTCAATTGTTGGCTATTTTGGATAAAGTTTCCATAAATATACGTGTAGACTTTTATTTAGACATTTAACACATTTGATTAAGTATCTAAAAACATGATTACTGGATATTATGTGAGCCTGTGTTTAGATAATATAAAATGGATGCCATTTTAATGGGATGGCATACATTTCCACATTATCACAAGATGTGACCGAGAATTCCTGTCACCACATTCTTGCCAGCATCTGCCGTTGCCAGTGTTATGGGCCTTAGGCATTATAAGGGGTGTGAAGTGATTCTTGTCTGTTTTAATACACACAGAATTTTCAATCTCCTCTGTGTCTATTTTCTAGCACCATATATATTAGCAATCCAGTTCAGCCTGTATTAACTAAAACTATTGTAGTTATAGTGTGTAGTCTCCTAAACTTACATTGATTAAAAGGAAATTGGAGAAAAGGGAGAATTTCTTCCTTTTTTTGAAAATGACAGTTGTGGTTACTCAACTGTTTTTAATCAGCATATGTACTTTTTGTTAGGCACCCAACGTCTATTAAAAACTAACAAAATACCATCTGTATAATTCCTATAACATAACTATCAGTTTCTCAAAATGAAATCTTCAGAAAGTTGAACTCTGTTGAGAATGGTGTATATCATTCCCCTGAGTGCTGTCAAGAGGCTGAAATACCAGGCTTGGGGATCTGGGCCATCACTGACTCCTCCAATTTAATACAGTTCATGTTATACTGTCTCAATCTATATAGATTTTCTCTTCTTCACCATTAATAAAACCTCCTGAATTAACAAAACATTTTCCTTTTGGTAGTGTCCTTTGGTACACACCTTTTGCTAGTGAATGTGGCACACCTTTTGTGAGTGTATCCTTTAGAGCTAAAATTTAATTTCCTCTCCTGAAGTGCAGGTTATAAAATTCTAAAGTTAAAGACAGTTTTTCTTTAGGAAATCCAATAATAAAACCTCAAGAGATTTTTATGAGTGCTCAAGTCATATAATCTCAGGTGAGAAATGACAAACAGAAGAAAACAGAGCAAAAGGGTAAAAGTGTGAGCTGACTGCAGTGTGAGTATGCACACATAGTTTTCTTCAGTATCTTGTACAGTCTAGAGAATCCATCTGTCTTTAATGAGTCATTAGTGTCCGTCTCCTGATCCCACCAGAAAACTAGGGAAGACAGTAAAATGAGATACTAAGCGGTTTCTCTTTGTAGGGTCAACAAGCCAGGGCTTCTCAGCTACAGCATTACTGAAATTCAGACTTAGTAGGCCTTTCTTGTAGGAGGTGATCGTGTGCACAGTACTTGAATTCCACCTCTGAGATGCCAAGGTGACCACCTTATAATGATAACCTAAAGTATCTCATGGGAAACAATGTTTTTTTTTTGTGGGAAGAAACTGTCCCCAGAATGTTTGAGGACTCGGAGTCAATAATTATTCTTAAAGCAGCACTACCACATGTGTTTCCACAGCCCGAGCACACTCAATTCCAACGGCACAAATAGAAATGGTTTCTAACTAGTTACCAGGTCAACACCATGTAGCTGGGACAGGGTTTAGGAAGAACACTAAGCGATACCAAATCTTCTCTACTACCATAAAACTACAGGGGAAGGTAAGGTAATTATCAGGAAAACTGCAGAATAATGAAAAAAAGGACAGTTCCTGAGGGACTCCCTTAAAACAAAGAACGAAAAGAAGTAGGACATGAGGAGATCTAGAGAAATCGAGAAAGAGTTTGTCTTATTATTAATGTTTTTCAGAGGACGAGATTGCTTTCAAGGGCTAATTCAAGACCTGGGCCCCGTTTGAGAACATCTGAACATCACACCATTCCCAGCAATTCTAGGGAAGAAAGAATACAGGATTTTATAATGCTCAAATTTTCCAAATTAAGCAAAAAGTCCCATATAAACATATCTTTTGTGATTAATTTCACTTAACATTTCAAAAATTTTACTTTCTCTAGAATATATTCCACATTTATATAGTTTAATCCTTGATTAAGATAAAGTATGTCTAGAAGGATGCCATAACTACTTATTATCTATGAAGATTAAAATAATATCAGATTTGTATAAAGTTTATATAAAGTCCCCTATTTTCAAAATGTATACAAATGAAGAAAACTTACATTTTTTGGCATTCTTTTCGTTCGCCCAACATGGGATCCCCCATTTCTCCAAGAATGGTAGCTTCCACTTCATACTGAACAATGAGAGCTTTTTCTGATGGATGGACATCAATATTCCCCCCTTTAACTTTCCTACAAAAACATAAAAAATAGATTAAAACCTCACAGAACATCCATATTTTTCACACAGTTTCTATGTCTAAAACATGAGGGCTAGAATAATACATGCTGTTTAATCACTTTCTGTGAGTCTGGGACAAGTGTATTTTTCCTGGCCCAGCAGAAAGTACCTTCATGAATAGTGTTACCTTGAAAAAACATGTATTCACCCAAAGAACCATGTATAAAAGCAAGTGAGGCCGGGCGGTGGTGGCGCACGCCTTTAATCCCAGCACTCGGGAGGCAGAGGCAGGCAGATCTTTGTGAGTTCGAGGCCAGCCTGGTCTACAGAGCAAGATCCAGGAAAGGCGCAAAACTACACAGAAAGAAACCCTGTCTCAAAAACCAAAAAAAAAGCAAGTGAAACATTTATAATTAGAATGTCTTTGCAGAGGATGACTCCAACTAAAATGAACTCTTTATCACAGTCTTGACTTGCATTTCCCTAATTGTTGGGGATAATGAACACTTTTTTGGGAGATATTTCTTAGTTATTTTTATTTCTTCTTCTAAAATCTCTGTATTCAAATCCATAGCCCATTTTTGAATGAGTCATTTTTTTCCTCTTAAGTTTTTGATTTCTCCATATATTCTGATACTAATCATCGTTATCATATGGATATCTAGCAAAGATTCTTTCCCATTCTGTGAGCTTCCCCTTCATTCAACTGTTTTAGTTGTGAAGCCCCACTTGTCAAATGTAGGGTAATCAATACTGGATAAGTAGAATCATATTCAGAAAGTCTTTTCCTACACTCACATCATATATATAAAGTACTGTCTATGTTTTATTCCAGCATTTTCAGTGTTTCAGGTTTCATATTTAGGCCTCTGATCCATTTGAAATTAGTTTTTGTTCAAGGTGATAGATATGGGTCTAATTTCATTCTCATACATGTGGACATCCAGTTTTCCTATTTTTCTCCAGTGTGTGATTTTGGCATTTTTGTCAAATATGAGACAGTTATAGTTACAGTGTACTCATGTTTGGGTCTTCTAGTTTGTTCCATTGATCTACATGTCTCTTTTTGTGCTGGTACCATGTAGTTTTTAGTAGATGGCTCTGCACTAGATCTTGAAATCTCTAATAGTAATCCCTTAAGCACTGTACCTTTTGCTAAATTTTGCCTTGGTTATCCAGGATTTTTTAATGTTTGAAATGAATTTTAGTATAGTTTTTGTTTTTCTAGTTTTGTAAAGAACGATATGGGATTTTGATTGGGATTGCACTGATTCTGTAAACAGCTTTGGGTATACTAGTTATTTTCACAATACTAATTGCACCAATCCATGAACACGGGATATCCTTTCATTTTCTAGTGTCTTTCTCAATCTCTTTCTCAGAGATTTAAAGTTTTCATTGTAAAGTCCTTCACTTCGTTGGTTATGTTCATTCCTAGATATTTTCTTTTCTCTAGGGCTATTGTGAATGGGAGTGTGTCCATGATTTCTTTCTTTGTATTTTTGTTGTTGGTGTATAGAAGAGCTATTGATTTTTTGATAAATGATTTCTTTAACATTTATTAACAAACAAAATCCACGAACAAATATTAAAGAACAAATGGGGAACCTGAGTCACAAGCCACTGCTTACATCTACCTTTGCTCACTCCTCCCTTGAAAAGACCGCCTCTTAAACCAAAACATCCCTCTCAATTGGCTAGTGGGCAGAATTTCCATAAGAATATTTGCAAGCAGATTCTTTATCCTGCCACTTTGCTGAGATGGTTGACTGTTTCTAGAATATTTCTGGTGAAATTTCTGGGGTCTCATGCATAATATTGTATCATCAGCAAATAATGATAGTTTGACTTCTTTTTTTCCTGCGTGTACCCTTTCCTTTCCTTTTCTTGCACTGAGCAGTGTATTGAATAGAGGTGGGGATAGTGGACAGTCCTGTCTCATTCCTGATTTCAGTTTGGCTGCTTCAAGTTTTTCTCTATTTCGGATGCTGCTGGCTGTAGGTTTCTCAGACATAGTTTTTGTTATCCTGAGGCATGCTCCCTCTAGTCCTTTCTCTAAGTCTTTCATCAAAAAGCCATGCCAGATTTCATTGAAAGCCTTTTCTTCATCTATTGAGATAAACGTGTGATATTTAAGTTCATTTATATAATTTAATACATCAATTCATGTTGAACCATATCTGCTTCTCTGGGATAAAGCTATCTTGGTCATGGTATATAACCTTTTGGCTATATGCCCATATTAAATTTATAAGTTTTTTTTTTTTTTTTTTTTTTTTTTTGGTTTTTCGAGACAGGGTTTCTCTGTGTAGCTTTGTGCCTTTCCTGGAACTCACTTGGTAGCCCAGGCTGGCCTCGAACTCACAGAGATCCGCCTGGCTCTGCCTCCCGAGTGCTGGGATTAAAGGCGTGCGCCACCACCGCCCGGCATAAGTTTTTTTAATGAGGATTTTGAATCTATGCTCACTGGAGATGTTGGCCTATAGTTGTCTTTTTATTGTTGTTGCTGTGCCTTTAACTAGTTTGGGTATTACAGCAGTACCTTTAACTAGTTTGGGTATTACAGCAGTACTAGCTTCGCAGAAGGTGGTAGGGAGTGTGTTTTCTGGTTTTTTTTTTTAATAATTTAAGAAGGATTGATTGTAAATACTCTTTGAAAAGGTTAAATCTTGCTGTGACTCCATGTGAGCCTGGGCTTCTTTTTTTGTCAGAAGGCATCTTACTTATATTTTATGTGTATGGGTGTTTGTACGTGTCTATGTATGTGTCTAAAACCTGTGGCAAGCAGAAGGGAGTATCAGGTCCCCTCTAATGGGAATTATGGTTGGTTCTGAGCTACTATGTGGGTGCTGAGAACTCAGCTGGAGCCCTCTGCAAGAACATCAAGGACTCTTAACTGCTGAGCCAACTATCTAGCCCCTAAAACTGTTTTCACAATGGATGTACCTCAAGAAAATTTCTATTTATACTTTATAAGATGAATTATTTTATCTTAAATGCTAAACTTTCAAATAGGATTGAACACAGCATTTACAATGATGTGAGAAATGTCTAACTACTGAGATGATTATCTCTCAAATGCTTTACCTGCATTCTTAGTTTGATAAAATTATTGGAATTTTTTATTTGCAACATCTTAGTATTAAATTCGTATCTTTTAACTACCTGAAAAATGCCTATTAATATTGTCTTCTTAGTAACACCACTGCTTTGCTTTTTTTGTATATATGTATAGAAAACTGTACCCAAAGACACTAAATTATCTAGAAATATATTTTGTATTTATTACAATAGAAGCCACAGAGAAATATTTATTAGAGTCCTTTAGCTGGAAATGAAATAGGCAGTAAACTGTATCCAAATGAGGAGTAAAGGAAATTGATAAAGGTTACTATGTAGCTAAACAGAAAAGCCACTGTGTACCTTTAGTCTGGAATGCTTCTTCAAGCAAATATAAGTCCTTCATTATAAATAATTGCTTTACAAATTAAGTTCTCAGCTAAAAGGCAATGGCTTCCAGAATGGATAATTAAGAAATGATATATATATATATATATATATATATATATATATATATATATATTGTCTATATGGTAGACATGGTAGACACTTTAGATCCAAAGACAAGAGCAGGTTCAAAGTTAAGGGATGGGAAAAGAAGATACAAACAATACAAAAGAAGGGTGGAGTAATTATACAAAACAGGCTTTAAATTACAAGCTGGTACAAAGTGTAACATCTCCTGTGGTGAGAAAAGGATCAACACATCCACAAGATCTAACTGTTACAAACATGAACTTGACACTAGAGATCTAAACCATATAAAGCAAAAAGTGAAAGAAATGAAAGGACAAACAGCTCTGTAACAACAGGGACAGACTTCAATATCACTTGGAATAACAGGTATGCCTATATAGATTATTATGAATACAGGAATTGAACACGATAAGACCAATTAGACCTAATTCATATACATATGAAGGAGATGCCCTTCCCCTAAAAAGGTGTAAATGGGATATTCTAACATTAGATCTTATGTTATGCACCTAGACAAGTCATCAACTTGAAAACACTAACATTACATAGTGTTCTCTAATCACAAATGAATAAAACTAGGAATCAGTACAGAAAGAAAACATTCATAAAAATATGGAAAATTAAATAAATCTATATCCACATAACTACTAATCAAAGAATAACTCATAAGAGAAATTATAAATGAAAACAACAGGTATACCCATGATGGCCATAACTTCTAGCAAATGCATGATTACAGAATCAGCTTTTTCAGAACTCAAAGCAGTTGCCCATTGAAATCCTGAATAAGTATCAATGGTATGGTGTACATATTTCAATTTTCCAAATTCTGCAAAGTGAAATACATCCATCTGCCAGATTTCATTCCTCTGAGTACCTTTTTGGTTACATCCTGCTGGTAATGGAGTCTGATTATAAAAGGAACAAGTAGGACATTTCCTTCCAATTTCCTTGGCTTCTTGCCAGGATATGGAAAAATCTTTTTTTAAACCTTTACTATTGACATGATTTTTTTTTATGAAATTCTGAGGCCTCCAGCACATTTCCTATCAATAATTTACCAATCTCATCATTACCTTGTGCTAGAGGGCCTGGCAGACCCGTATGGGATTGGATGTGAGTTATATATAAGTGACCCCCAAAACTCTACCAGAAAACTCCTACAGCTGATAAACACCTTTAGTCAAGTGACTGGTGATGGGGGAATGTCTTTCTGTAGCTGTGGTTCCTTTCTCATTAGCACTGAAAAAATTTGAAGTTAATAGAGCCTTATGTAATCTATTTCTGGATGTCAGCATGTAGAAGAACACAAATAGATCCATATTTACCAGCCTCAAGTCCAAGTGGATCAAAGACCTAAAAAATAAATCCAGATACACTGAACCTGATAGAAGAAAAAGTGGGAAATAATCTTGAACGCACTGGCACAGGAGACAACTTCCTGAACAGAACACTAATAGCACAGACACTAAGA